TTCCTTCTATTCCTTTGAACTAATAGTGGTTCAGAACTATCTTTATGCTGTCAACAGTAAGCGCATGCTCTGCTATGATCCTAGCCACAATATGTGGCTGAACTGTGCTTCTCTTAAGCGCAGTGACTTTCAGGAAGCATGTGTCTTCAACGATGAGATCTATTGTATCTGTGACATACCAGTTATGAAGGTCTACAACCCAGCCAGGGGAGAATGGAGGCGGATCAGTAATATCCCCTTGGACTCAGAGACCCACAACTACCAGATTGTCAATCATGACCAAAAGCTGCTGCTCATTACTTCTACCACCCCTCAGTGGAAGAAGAACCGGGTGACTGTGTATGAATATGATACAAGGGAAGACCAGTGGATTAATATAGGTACTATGTTAGGTCTTTTGCAGTTTGACTCTGGCTTTATTTGCCTCTGTGCTCGTGTTTACCCTTCCTGCCTTGAACCTGGTCAGAGTTTCATCACTGAGGAAGATGATGCCCGAAGTGAGTCTAGCACTGAATGGGACTTAGATGGATTCAGTGAGCTGGACTCCGAGTCAGGAAGTTCAAGTTCTTTTTCTGATGATGAAGTGTGGGTGCAGGTAGCACCTCAGCGAAGTGCACAGGATCAGCAGGGTTCCTTGTAAATATTTTGAAGTGCTAAGATGTTTCTCCTGCTTTGTGGAATGTATCTTAACAAGATCCTTTCCTAAAAAAAATTGACTAGAACCACAAATTTGATTTAGAAAGGGTAATATTTTGAAATACTAATGTAATATTTTAAAATGTAAACAGTCCATAAATCAGCCTGCTTAATAATTTACTCTGCTAAAAGTCCAGATTAAAATATGCAAAAAGATCTTAATTGATTAGTATCCTTTGTGACTTTTGTTCATTATTCAAATATACATTGTGCAAATGAGTTTTTTTGATTAGTATATTTTCAGTATCAGTTTACTCAATTTTTAAATTGTTTATTGTTACAAGAAATTTAGTTTTTTAATTTATTTAATAGTAAATCAGACTAGGAGTTACTGGTAGGGTTTTGAAGGTATATACATTCCTTCAGAATAATGAAAGCAGATTTCCAAAAGTTTATTCTAGTCAATTTCTTGTAAGTTAAAGGTAGTTTGTTAAAATTGTGATTGGGTTTCTTCCCTTCTGCAAGGAAAAAAAAATGAATATGTAAAGTTTTACCGAATGGTGGTTTCATTTTGGTTATATGTAGAATGGCTTTACAAGTTCATAGAAAGCTTTAAAAATCAGGATTTCACTGTTTTAAAAGATTTGCATTTTTATTTTGGAATTTAAAATGCTTATTTGCTAAATGTGACCAATATCTAATTAAAAAATGCATTCTAGTGTCACCAAAATACTCTTCTAAACTGGCCCCCTACCCCTGAAAAGAAAATTTTGTTTTGTAAATTCCTACTGTTGATCTGTACCTGATACATGCCTCATTGAGTCGGAGGAACAGTCCTTTTTCACTGGAAATACAATTGGGTAATGTAAATTTTTATCTGTTGGTCATGCCTTGTCTTAAAAAAGTTTATTTGCTTTCTTTATATAGTTTTGCTGTTTCTCTTCAGTAGGAAACAATTTATTCTTTACTGTTTTGTGAGGTAATATTGGTTTTGAAAATATGTATAAGCTAAAAACAGTATTTTATTGATATTAGTGGTCATTGTGTCTATCATCTTTAAAATTAAGTGCCAGCAAAGACCTTCAAACTTTAAGATGTATATAGAACTGTTTTCTGTAGTATTGAAATATTCTGTCAGTTTTGTAAGTCATGTATATGTTCTTGATTATCAGCTTGGAGGTATTTTTGTATTAAAAGTTGACAGTTAAAGAACTTAAGTGGATGTGGCATTTGGGGCCAATAGTGAAAGTATCTTTCCTCTCAAATATTTCCCTAAGCTGTAGTATACATGTTATTTTATTATGGCATTTGTATGTGTTTTGTGTTTCTCTGTGAACTATACTCTAGTCTTTGATTCTGTCACCATATGATAGGGGAAGTCCAGAAATAGAGACTAAGTCGCACAAAACTGACACTGTTAAATATGAGAAAATATAGGTGCTTACCTTTTGAAGCTTTATTAATACACGTTTATCAGAATACATGTACACACTAAATGGTGTACATATGCTATACAGATGTTTATGATGTATAAATTTTTCTATAACTGCTTAAAATTATCTTCCTGAATCTTTGTTAAATAACATGCTAATTCTTCATCTGTGTTTATTCTCTATAGACAGATTTTTGATACCCTGTCAGAGGGCTGAGGAGTGTGACTGGGATGGGGAACTGAATTTTGGAATAAAAAACAGGCAGAAAGAAAAGGATAAAACAGATACACACACACACACATACACAGAATGCTTGCTTAGCCATTTTGATTGGCCATTTTAAGAATCTACAAGACATTCCTGTTTAACATTTCTACCAAAAGAAGACCTGCCCTAGCATTTCATGTTCCTTCAAAAAGGTTAACATGCTTTTAGTGGCCTATGGCTAAAGTTTGTTTCATTTGATATCAGGGACGTTATGAGTACTGCTGTTAACATAGAAAACTATTTGTCAATAATGTTACTTTTCGGCCAGCTTTTTCTTCATCAACATCTTGTTAATAGCTTTTTGTTCTGTAAGGTAGAACCATAGCAATGCTTATTTCAATGAGATTATCCCTCTGAAGAATTAAGGTGTGCAACTCATGTAAAAAATGCAAATTCTCCAATTTGTCATTCTTAATCTTTCAGTTAAAGCCTAGGCTAAATAATAGTAATATCTTGCTTTACAATAAGGTTTTCTTGGAAAGAATTTTGGTTCTGTAATTATATTTGTGAAATAGGGAGTAGATGTGAACCATTATTTTCTAAAATGATTTGTACATGGTTAGTTACAAATAAAATTGATAACTAGAACCCAGGCTTCCTGACTTTCTAATTCTGTGGTTTTGCTAAATGTGTAAAACCCTTGCTTCATAATGAATGACACAAGTAGCAGTGTTGAAATCCCTTCATGACAAGCAGATACCTGCATCTCAGGTTTCAGTTAATCTGTGTGCCTTTTATCAAATGCTCAATATAATGTTTTTTTTTAAGATTTATTTATTTGTCAAGGCAGAGGTAGAAGGAGAGAGTGAGCGAGCGAGCGAGCTTTGATCTGCTGGGTCACTCCTCCAGTGGCTGCAAAGGCCAGGGGTAGACTAAGCTGAAGCCAGGAGCCAGGAGCTTCATCTGGGTCTCCCACATGCATGCAGGGGCCCAAGTACTTGGGCCATCGTCCACTGCTCTCCCAGGTGCATTAGCAGGGAGCTAGATCAGAAATGGAGCAGCCAGGACTTGAATGGGCACCCATATGGCAGAGGCTTAACCTTCTACACCACAGCACTGGCCCCTATCAAATGCCCAGTATAATTTAATTTGCAGGAATACCATTTGTAACAGTTAAAATCACCTCCATTGTCTTTTACACTTGATCTTAGTCAAAAGGCTAAGCAATCCCATTATCTTATATCTGTGTGGCAGTAGTCTGAAAAGCTGAAAACCTAAGTTATTTCAAACACTTCAAATGACAACGTAGCATAGGATTTTCCAATGGATAAAACAGAAGGCAGTGTTAAAAGGGAAGACTATTTGCTAAACAACTTGTGTAAATTTGGCTTTAGGATTAAAGTTATAATAGTTCCCTTCTATTGCCTCTAGTTAAGCAGTTTTTTTTTTCTTTTTTCTGTTTTGGTATCTGGATGTTAATTGAAAATATGAAAGTTTGTAACCCATTCCCCAGGAGAATGCACATACTAATATTTTCATAATTGAAGGGTATAGTGACACTTCTGAAGTTCATCCACAGAACACCTCTACAAATAGGAGTCCATTTTTTTTTCAAGAGACACATATTTCAGATGTTGTAGGAGGAAGGGGCAATATTATGTCATTCGTAAAACAGAGCTAAAAATATACATTGGCTGAATGAGATGTGAAAATTAATGAATACTTCAGAACACAGGCAAAGTTAACATTTCTGATAATCAAATTCACTCATGATGATTAATATTTAACAAAATGTAAGTGGCTTAAAGGAAGTACTCAAATGAACTAATGTATATGAAAGCTTGAACGTCATACAATGTAAGTGGTGTGATTATTGTCCAAGTAGGCTGTGTATATGTTAGGCCTTAAAACAAAATGTAGGGGCTGCTCTAGCATAGTAGGTCACTGCTTGCAGTGCCGGCATCCCATATGGACTCTGGTTTGAGTCCTGGATGCTCCACTTCTGATCCTGCTCCCTGCTGATGGCCTGGGAGATGGCTCAAGTGCTTGGGCCCCTGCACCTACTTGAGAGACCTGAAGAAGTTACTGGCTCCAGCCAGTTGCCGCCATTTGGGGAGTGAAATAGCAAATAGAAGTCCTGTCTGTCTCTCATTTTCTTTCTCTGTAACTAAGCTTCTCAAGTAAATGGATAAATTAAAAAAAAAAAAAGGGAAATTTATGATTCAGATGTCTCAAACTGCTGACATCACTGCTGTTTATTAGAAATGTCTAAATAGGCCGGCACCGCAGCTCACTAGGCTAATCCTCCGCCTAGCGGCGCCGGCACACCAGGTTCTAGTCCCGGTCGGGGCGCCGGATTCTGTCCCGGTTGCCCCTCTTCCAGGCCAGCTCTCTGCTGTGGCCAGGGAGTGCAGTGGAGAATGGCCCAAGGGCTTGGGCCCTGCACCCCGTGGGAGACCAGGAGAAGCACCTGACTCCTGCCATTGGATCAGCGCGGTGCACCGGCTGCAGCGCGCCGGCGGCAGCGGCCATTGGAGGTGAACCAACGGCAAAGGGAAGACCTTTCTCTCTGTCTCTCTCTCTCACTGTCCACTTTGCCTGTCAAAAAAAAAAAAAAAAAAAAAAAAGTCTAAATAGCAAAAAAGCCAGGAGCCAGTAGCCTCTTCTGGTCTCCCACGTGGGTGCAGGGACCCAAGGACTTGGGCCATGTTCTGCTTTCCCAAGCCATAACAAAGAGCTGGATTAGAAGAGGGGCAGCGGGGACTCGAACCGGCACCCATATGGGAGGCCAGGGCATTAACCTTCTGTGCCACAGCACAGGCCCCCAAATGGTTCTTTTCAAGGCTTGACTTAAAATCTGTTTACCGTTGCTGCTAGGAATATCTCTTGAGGCTTGTTATCTGCCTTTTTATGTTTCTTATCCTAGAAATCATCCTAAACTCTCTTAGATGTTTTTGTATCATTGTGGCCATGACTATTAGCGCTGCTATTTTTTTCTTGGTCATTTGGTATTGAATATTAAGATGTGATGCTACATGTTACTTGATTTGCATTTAAGGAAAACCAGCAACTTTATGACATAATAATCTTTTCATTTTTAAAACAAAAGCCAAGATTGTTATATATGAGTTGCTTGTCTTATTGGTGGGAAGAATTCGGTACTCAAATAGAACATTAAAACTTTTTTAGGTATAAGTATAAACTAATGTAAAATATCCATTTTTTTTTATTTCTTGCCCTCCACATTGTGTACTTTTATTCTTAAAATTCTTAAAGTCTAGAGATTTAATGTCCTGTGTATAGTGTGTTTGTAATTACCATGATGGCTAAAACTGTCAAATGACCATGGATAATTACTGATGTGTCCTGTGTGTGATGCCCAGGACCGTAAGTGCAAGAAAAACTTACCTCTGCTGATAAGTGGAGTCATTAGTGTTTGGGCCCCTGCCACCACAAGGTGGTTAAGTTCCTGTCTTCAGGCCTGGCCTAGCCCTGTTTGTTGTGGCCATCTGGGAAGTGAACCAGCACATGGAAAGATCTCTTTCTCTCTGACTTTCAAATAAGTAAATCTTTATAAAAAAAAACAAAAAAAAACTATTTTGTTGGGAGTAAGGCATTGATGTTCTTCTTTCCATGTAAAATACCCAATCTCTCCCTGTATACCTGTTTAGAAACCTCAACAACACCTTTTTCATCTTTATAATTAGCTTTAAAAATATTTGTTATAGCAAATATGATCAAATAATATATTATGAGGCAAAATTATTTATGGAATATGCAACTAAAAATCTCAAGAGAACTGATAAGTTATTTTTAGAACCATTGAAAGGGTTAATTGTACACATAACTGGAGTGGACATTTGACCTAGCAGTTAAGACACTGGTTAGGATGGCCACATCTCACACTGGGTTCAAGTCTCAGTTGATTTCAGTTTCTTGGTAGTGCAGATCCTGGGAGTCAGCAGTAGTAAGGGTTCCTGTCATCCAAGTGGGAGACCTGGATTGAATTCTCAGTCCCCAGTTTGTGAGCATTTGAAGAGTGAACCAGTGTGACAGTATTCTCTCTCCCCCCCACCTTTTTTTATTTAAAGATTTTATTTATTTATTTGACAGGCAGTGTTAGAGTGAGAAAGAGAGAGACAAAAAGAAAGGTCTTCCTTCTGTTGGTTCACTCCCCAAATGCCCAAAACGGCCAGAGCTGTGCCGATCCGAAGCCAGGAACCAGGTGCCCCATCCTGATCTACTACGTGGGTGCAGGGGCCCAAGCACTTGGGCCATTCTCCACTGCACTCCTGGGCCACAGCAGAGAGCTGGACTGGAAGAGGAGCAACCGGGACTAGAACTGGTACCCATATGGGATGCCGGTGCTGCAGGCGGAGGATTAACCCACTGCACCACGGTGCCAGCCCCTCTCCCTCTCTTAAATGATTTTTAATTAAAAATATATACAGATCATTTAGAAAAATTAACAATAAAAAAGATATGTTCACAGAAATTACCTAATATTAGAGTGTCAGATAGTCAAGAAGTTTTATGCCCTCTCCTTGACACTGGACTATTTTGTCACCAGGTTTATTTCATCAGCATCCTTTTCTCATTTTAATTCTGTGAAGTCAACATGGCCCAAGGTTCAGAGCAGGTGCATATCATTCCCTCTCTATCTGAGAACTGGGGAGGATGTCATCTCTTTCCAGTGGAACCTACTTACTATTTCTACTGCTGCCTGCAAAGAATTTAAGCTGCTTTGGAAGCACCATCCATTAATCAGGAATATGTTTTTAGGGATGAACGATTTGCTAATTCTGGGGAAAACTAGCAAATAGAACTGGCTCCCTTCAAGGCATCCTGATCCAGTCTCAATGTCTTCAGGGTATTTTTTGTGCAAAGAAGATATCACGGGACAATGCTTTCCCTAATTTTATCCATCAGCTAGATCAACCTCTAATCTGTAATCCATCTCTAAAGTTTTATCATTTAAATATTATATAAATGAATCATACAGTATTTAATCTTTTGAGATCACTTTTTCACTTAACATAGTTCTCTTGAGATTTATCCAAGTTATTCTCTCAGTAGACATCTGAATGGTGCAGTAACAATCTCCCCCAAAAACCTACTCCCTCGTGAAAGCAATGAGGATACTAGGAAAAACTATCAAAATAAACTTATTAAAAGTATGGAGATTTGGAGTTAGAACTGTGGCACAGTGGGTTAAAGCCCTGGCCTCAGCTCTCTGCTGTGGCCAGGGAGTGCAGTGGAGAATGGCCCAAGTACTTGGGCCCTGCACCCCATGGGAGACCAGGATAAGTACCTGGCTCCTGCCATCGGATCAGCGCGGTGCGCCGGCCACAGCGCGCCGGCCGCGGCGGCCATTGGAGGGTGAACCAACAACAAAAGGAAGACCTTTCTCTCTCTCTCTCTGACTGTCCACTCTGCCTGTCAATAAATAAATAAATAAATAAATACATAAATAAATAAAGCCCTGGCCTGCAGTGCCGGCATCCCATATGGGTGCCTGGCTTTAAGTCCCGGCTGTTCTAGTTCTGATCCAGCTCCCTGCTAATGTGCCTGGGAAAGCAGCAGAGGATGGCCCAAGAAGACCCAGAAGCTGCTGCTGGCTTTGGATCAGCCCAGCTCCAGCAGTTGCAGGTATTTGGGGAGTGAACTAGTGGGTGGAAGACCTCTCTCTCTCTCTCTCTCTATCTGAATGTGTGTGTTTGTGTGTCTATAAAGTATGAAGGTTAAATAAAGGCAACATTCCAAAGAGAGTTTAAGAAAAAAACTAAATAGAAAAATTCATGGTGTTTGAGAAGCAGAAACACACAAAGAGAGATACAATTCAGGGCTCTTATCCACTGGTTCGCTCCTCAGATGTCCACAACTTGTGGGGGAGGGGAGAATGTGGAGGGAAGGTGAAGTCAGGAGAGGGAAGTCCATCCAGATCTCCCATGTGGGTAGCATGAACCCAATTACTTAAGCCATTACTATTGCCTCTCAGTGTCTGCAATAGCAGGAACCTGGATGATAAACTCAGGTATTGCAGTATGACATGTGCACAACTTTTTTTTTTTTTTTTTTTTTTTTGACAGGCAGAGTGGACAATGAGAAAGAGTCAGAGAGAGGTCTTCTTTTTCCGTTGGTTCATCCCCCAATGGCCGCTGCGGCCAGTGCACCACACTGATCCGAAGCCAGAAGCCAGGTGCTTCTCCTGGTTTCCCATGCGGGTGCAGGGCCCAAGGACTTGGGCCATCCTCCACTGCACTCCTGGGCCACAGCAGAGAGCTGGCCTGGAAGAAGAGCAGCCAGGACAGAATCCGGCGCCCCGACCGGGACTAGAACCCAGTGTGTCTGCGCCACAGACAGAGTGAGCCACTGCGCCAGCCAGACATGTGCACATCTTAACTGGCATCTTAACTTCTTGGCCAAACACCCAGGCCTGCCTTATGGTGTTTTAACTTGTTCTAATCGCATACACCATTCCTCACAGCTGTTGTGAAACTCAATATATGTGAAACTCAACAGCTTCACATATATTCTAACTGTAATAAGCAGCAGTGTAGCAGGCACTACAGTAAATAGTGGATTTGGAGCTCCTTAAATGCCCCATCCTCAGAAAACTGTAACTAGTTAACTTAACAGTTTATTGAAAATCTCCATTATCAAGATTTTTCTCTTTTGGAATATATCTGTGCAATTTGATAGACATGACATTTATTTTAAAATATTTAGAGAAAATAAATTAGACAATATAAATTTAACTCTTTTTTTTTCAGCTCCTAAACTTTATTTTAAAAACATTAACCTTCAACTTTTTGAGTCTTTGGGGTCAAATCCCAGCTCTGCTTCTGATTCAGCTTCCTACTAATATGCACCTTGGGAAGCAGCAGATGATAGCTCAAGTGCTAACCTTCCACATTTTGAAAGGGAGAAAACTAGGCCCTTGTCACCCATCTAATATAGTTAGCTGATTCAATTTCTGTCTTAATTTATTTATTTCAAGTATGTTTTTGTTTCAAATTGACACATAAAACAACATATTTATGGGGTACAGGTAGCATTTCCATATATATATATATGTATTATGCAATGATCATAAATGGTAACTGAATATCATATCAGATATTTATTGCTTTTGTGTGCAGAACATTCACAATCTTCTCTACTAGTTAGTTTGAAATATCCAATTAATTGTTGCTATAGCTATGCTACTGCATTATAGAAAATCAGAAGTTATTCCTCCTGTCTAACTGCATCCCTGTACTCATTAAGCATCTTCTGTCAATCCCTCCCCACACCCTTCACAGACTCTAGTAACCACTATTCTATTCCACCTCTTTGAAATCAACTTTTTTAGCTTCCACATAATAAGTGAAAGCATGCAATACTTGTATTTCTTTGCCTGACTTATTTCACTTAACATAATGTCCTCCAGTTCTATCATTGTTGCCGAAAATGGCAGAATTTCATTCTCTTAATGGCTGAATAACATTCCATTGCAAAATTAAAGTTTTGTGCTTCAAATAATATCATTAACAAACTAAAAGGACAATCCACACAATGGAAGAAAACACTTGCAAATCATATTTCTTATAAGAGACTTGAACCTAAAATATGTTAAGAACTAATATAATTCAGGCCGGCGCCATGGCTCACTTGGCTAATCCTCCTCCTGCGGCGCTGGCACCCCGGGTTCTAGTCCTGGTTAGGGCACCGGATTCTGTCCTGTTCACTCCTCTTCCAGTCCAGCTCTCTCTTCCTCTGTCTTTCTCTCTCAATCACTGTAAGTGAAATTTTTAATAAATACAATCTACTATATAAAAAGAGCCAAATGCCATCAATGGTAAACAGATGAACAAAAGATCAGTATCAATGAAATGGAATTTTATTTGGTTATAAAAAGGAATAGAGTTCTGATAAATATTATAACATGGATGAAATTACCCAGCACAGGCAAATCCATAGAGACAATGAGTAGATCCGTGGTGATCTAGAGCTGGGTTATTGGGGGTGGGTAGGGAAGCAAATGTATGGAGAATTAAATGAAAATGAGGAATGATGGCTATCAGGTGTGGGATTTCTTTTGGAGGTGATGAAAATGTTTTGAAATTTGTAGGGGTGAGCAGTTGGCCTGGTGGTTAGGAAGCTGGTTGAGACACCTTGTATCCCATACTGGTGTACTTGAGTTAATGTCCTAGGTCTGGCTCCCAATTTCAGCTTCCTGTTGATGCAGAGTAGTCTGATGCTTGAGTAATTTGGCACCTGCCACCTACATGGGAGACCTGGGGATTGGGTTCCCAGGTCCTGGCTTTGGCCAGGAGATAAGTTTCTCTGACTGTCTCTGTCTTTCTCTCTCTCTTTCTGCCTTTCAAATAAAATAATTCTAAGGGGGAAGTCCTAGGATTTAAATATATTAAACTTGCCCAGCAAAAAATAATTTTTCACATAGAAGTTATTTCTTCCTCTAAATTATTTATATTAATAAAGACTGTAAGGCCTACTCTTCATTCCTTTAGTTTCCTAAGCTCACATAGCCTTAAAGGCATGAGTGCTTCTCTGAGTCCTGTATTGAAGCAGTCCTCCTCTGCTATTCCAGCTTCGGCGCTCATTGCTTTCTCCCCTCTACAGCCTCCCTCACATGTTGAAACTTGCCACTTATCAGGATGCTTTATTCTTAATGGTCTGTTTGCCCCACTACAAGGCATGCATGGGAGAACCATGTCTACAATTTTCACCAGTTTCTAGCATACTGCCAGTATCTTTAGAAGAAATACATGGACATATTTACTGCTTGTTTTAATTTATGCAACAAATCCAACTGGAGTAACTAATGGTTTAGTGAGTGCTTCAGCTTTGAGGGAAAGCCATTATTACACTTTGTTGTTGTTGTTATGACAACCTACCAGGCTCCAAGAGCTACAAGTTAATTCTAGGAGCTTATTTTCCCAGAAGACCAGATAGCATTTTCCATTAAGATTCCATTATGATGCCATTGCAAATCACATTTCTCACACTGTAGAGAGCATTGAGAGATTTTTCCCTTTACCTTTTATGAAGATGGCAGCAAATTATAATGGCAACAAATCTTTCCAAACCAGAAAAGGCCAGGAAAAATAAAACTGAACAAGCATATGTGCCACACGTCTCCACTCCCCAACACATTCATATTTCCTCAAATTTTCCACTTTTCACAGGCATCAGTGAAATCAATTGGGTTGGCTGTCCAAGTTGTTGGGGAAGTTTTGCTACAAAACAAAGAACTCTGAGGAGCTCTATTATAGTCTAAATGTTTCTTCTTTTTCTCCTCATTGCCTGGTACTTAAGCTTTATGTTAAATTAGCAAATGCTAACGGTCTTACAAAAACTGAGACTTGCTGAAAAGGTCCAGTATGAGGTAATTCCCCACCCCTCCCCACCTCTTACCCCCTTGAGTCATTATAGAAAACTTATTATTGGCCGGCGCTGCGGCTCACTAGGCTAATCCTCCGCCTGTGGCGCCGGCACACCGGGTTCTAGTCCAGTCGGGGCGCCGGATTCTGTCCCGGTTGCCCCTCTTCCAGGCCAGCTCTCTGCTGTGGCCAGGGAGTGCAGTGGAGGATGGCCCAAGTGCTTGGGCCTGCACCCCATGGGAGAACCAGGGAGGAAGCACCCTGGGCTCCTGCCTTCGGATCAAGCGCGGTGCGCCGGCTGGCAGCTCGCCGGCCGCAGCGGCCATTGGAGGGTGAACCAACGGCAAAAGGAAGACCTTTCTCTCTGTCTCTCTCTCTCTCACTGTCCACTCTGCCTGTCAAAAAATAAAAATATATATATATTTGGAGTCTTTTGGTGCCTTTCTTCTAGTTGTTCATAAAATATATACTGGCTTGTTGTGAACTATAGTCATCCGGCTGTGCTGCAGAAGACAGAATTTATTCCTTGTATTTAACAGTATTCTGCTACCCATTATTCAATCTCCCTCTACTCCTACCACCCTTCCCAACTTCTAGTTATCACTAGTCTACATCTGAATTTACCTTTTTTCTAGCTTTTACATATGAAAGAGAACTGGTATTCATCTACTTCACTTAACATAATGTCCTCCAGATCTATCCATTTAACTAAAAATTATGCTATTTCATTCTGTTTCTCATGGCTTATTAGTCTTTTAAGTAAGCACTGAATGCTATACCACACTAAATCAGATATTGAAACTTTGACACACCTAAACCTAGTTATCTGCCGTTGTTACAAATTGAAGCTGGCCAGTGAAATGAAAGGTTTGCTGTGGGAAGATCAGGTGTCCAGTCACTGTCGCTCCCCCTCTTCATGGAGGAACGACACAGGACCCTGCGCTGTTCTTCTGTCTGCTCGGCCCTCCCCGGGTTTGCTGCTGGTTCTTCCCGGGTTGGCTACCGACCCTTCCACCTCCGTGGAAGGGCGGTTCCCCCTGCCACATTCCCCACTTCCGCAGGGGAGCGGCACACCGCCGGCCAGCTCTCTCGGGGGCTGCACAGGTGTTCCCTTAGATGTTCCCCTTAGATGTTCCTGGTGCATGCCGTCTCTCTCCTCCTTTATAGTCCTCCTCCGCCAATCCTAACTCAGCTGCCCACACGCCGAGTACGCTGCTCTCCTCCAATCAGGAGCAAGTTCTACAGTTTATTGGCTGAACTGGAGGCAGCTGTGTAGAAGCTGTTTTCTTCTCTCCCAGCGCCATATTGTGGGAGAGCAGATGCATAGAATAAGTCTTAATTCCAGTAACTTAGTCTAGTCCGAGTTACTCCCAGTTGCTCCCCACAAGTCACATAGATCTTACGATTGCTTAGTAGAGTTACCAAATTACAGATGAAGTTCTCTGCTTTAGAAGTTTAGATATTCAGTTATTCCTGAGCCTTGATGTGGTTGGGTCTGGGTACTTAATCAGATTGATCAACCATAATCAAATGTTCCCAATACCATAGTACTGATACATTAACTTACAGTTCAAAAATATAACTTTCAAGAAGTGGACACTTAGCTTAGCTATTAAGACATCCACCCTACATCACAGTAAAAAGGTTCAATTCTGGGCTGTGGCTCCTGACTCCAACTTCTTGTTAATGCAGACCCTGGAAGGCAGCAGTGATGGTTTAAGTAGCTGAACTCTTGCCACCTACGTGGGAGAACTGGATTGAGTACCCAGCTCCTGGCTTTGGCCCCCCCAACCATTGCAGGTGCTTAGGGAGTGAACCAGCAGATGGGAGCTTGTGCTCTGTCTGCCTCTCTGCCTCTAAAATAGTTAAAATTTTAAGAAAGAAAGGAAAGAACTTTCACATAGATTAGAGAGGTGCTATTTTTCCCTGGCCAGCATATATTCCTACGAACCAATATTGATGAGAGATAAATTACTGTCAGAAGGTTGCTGGTGGACATGGACTCAGAGGTCGTAGAACAAGTTGAATGAACTTAATAACCGCTGTTAAAGTGGTGTGAAAGGCAAGTGCATTTGTCTTTTATTTTAAGGTTAGATCCAAATGGACAATTTCTCTGGATAGTGCTGGATCTAAATGCCCATGACAGCATGGCCAAGTCTTTCCTATGCTTCTGTGCTGAACCTCCTCCTCCTCACCTCTAGATGCTAAAACTTTCTTTTACTGTTTTTTTTTCCAATGCATTATTTCTGTGGCTGCGTCAGTTATTCAATCAGGTTAATCATGAGGTTGTGGAGTGGGACTGATTGTGTCACTTTCAGGTTACATATCTGCTCCATTTATATTTAGTTGCTTTATAATTTAATTCCTTGAAGATCATCACATATATCCCAATTTCCAATTTTATATATGTATGGGAAAGGGGGCAACGTGTGTCTCTGAACTTCACGTACCAGCTGTGGCAGGCTCGTCTTGGTTCCTTTTTTGTTGATTTCCTTTAGGTCACAGAGACAAAAGTAGAAATAGTAAAGCAAATGTTCCAAGTATGTTCCAAGCGAGGAAATGGGCTACTGGGAAGAGCACGTGGGCTCCTGTAAGGGCAGAACATCTAAGTGTCCTTTAAGGAAGGAGCCAGTCAGTCAAGAGAGAGTACTTGCAACCTTTCTTCCCGGCTTTGGGCTTTTATTCCTGAAGTATGAGGGGCATTAATGGGTGATGTGATGGACATGCTCACTTATGACTGGCATTTGTGACTGACATCTGGGAGTTGCATACCTTTGGGCTAGAATTTTCTAGTTTGCTTAAGCTCCCTTTAAAAAAAAAACACATTTATTTTTATTTGAAAGTCAGAGTTACAGAGATAGAAGAGTGAGAGAGAAGAGAAATAGAGCCAGCGCTGTGGCGTAGAGGGTAAAGCCTCCAACTGCAGTGCAGCATCCCATATGGGCACTGGTTCTAGTCCGGGCTGCTCCACTTCTGATCCAACTCTCTGCTTTGGCCTAGGATAGCAGTAGAAGATGGCACAAGTCCTTGGGCCCCTGTACCCACTTGGGAGACCTGGAAGAAGCTCCTGGCTCCAGATCGGCATGGCTCCAGCCGTTGTGGTCATCTAGGGAGTGAACCAGTGGATGGAAGACCTCTCTCTCTGCCTCTGCCTCTCTGTAACTCTGCCTTTCAAATAAATAAATACAGGCAGAGAGAGAGAGAGAGAGGGAGAGAGAATTTTCCATATTCTGGTTCACTCCCCAGATGGCTGCAACAGCTAAGGTTGGGCCAAGCCTAAACCAGCAGCCAGGAGCTTCATCCAAGTCTCCCATGTATGTGGCTTTTCCCAGGCCATTATAAGGGATCTGGATCAGAAGTGGAGCAGCCAGGACACAAACCAGTGCCGCAGG